GGTTATACTTCTTCCAAGAGGGATTTGTTTGTTCTTTTGGCAGCCCATGGTATATTCAATATTCTTCACCAAAACTTTAAGTCCAAGGCATTAATTCTTTGGTCTTCCTTATTCATTGACCAGCTTCCAGGTGCCTAGGAGGTGACTGAAAACACCATGACTTGTGTGATGGTTAAGATTGTGTGTCAACTTGGCTGGGCCATGATTCTCAGTGTTTACATGTGATCACTCCCGTGATTGAAACTGCTGTGAGTAGCCAATCAGCTGAAAGGGTGTTTCCTTGGGGGTGTGGCCTGCATCAGAATATAAGCAGATGTTCTGGCTTTTTGCTTGCTCTGGATCCTGCAGTTGCCTTCTGTTTATCTGACCTCTGGTTCTTGGGACTTGAGCTATCAGCTTATCTGCTGATCTTGGGAATCATCGATCTTCACAGCCTGTAAGTGGAGCCCTGCTCTCTGACCTCCTGATCTTGGGTTTGCCAGCCCCTGCAGCTACGTGAATCGGGAGAAGCCTCTATCCTAATCCACAGACTTGGGACGCTCCAGCCCCTACAATCACATGAGCTGTTTCTTTGATATCAATCTCTCTATGTGTATATTTATACACTTTACCAGTTTTGCTTCTCTAGAGAACCTAGCCTAAGACAGCTTGGGTCAGGCACACCTTAGTCCTCAAAGTGACATCTTTGGTTTTAAACACTTGAAAGAGGTCTTTGCAGCAGATTTACCCAGTGCAATACGTCATCTGATTTCCTGACTGCTGCTTCCTGTGGGCAGTGACTGTGGATCCAAGTAAAATGAAATCCTTGACAACTTCAATCTTTTCTCTGTTTATCATGATGTTGCTATTGATCCAGTTGTGAAGATTTTTGTTTTCTTTATGCTGAGGTGTAATTATACTATGGTTATTATGTCAGATGTTAACATTAGGGGAAGCTAAATGAGGGATACAAGGAAACTCTTGATGTTCTATTTTTACAACTTTTCTGTATGCCTGAAATTAGTTCGAAATAAAAACTGTTTAAAAGGGTGGGAAAAGCAACTTTTTCTTATATGAATTCATCTATAGTCTCACTTTCCTATACAAACATAAACTGATATAATCAAAATAAAACAAAGATAAACTCTGTGACCTTTAATAACCTATAACAGAGTATCTTAAACCTCTGGACTATATTTGGAGCAAGAAAACACTTTAAGTAGATAGATTTATAGAAAGCTATGATTATCCCTAAAAATATACCACCCACTGCTTAGTTTAAAATTGTCTACAGTTCTTTCTAAATACAAGATTAATCTGTACTACAGAACTGAAATTTAACAACAACAAAAAAAGACATACCCATCCAATCAATCCGGGGCGCAATTCACAGAAGTATTTGAGATCAAAAGCACCAATTCGAGGATTTAATTCACGGCCAATGAAGAAATCATAGACAGCGTTTCCTGAGAAGGGAAAAGTTTTTACCATACAAGATTTCAAACCCAATCACAAGGTTTTAAAATTGCACTATCATCTACTATCCACGAGTCACAATTCAATTACCAACCCATCAAAAAAAAAAAA